TTAACCAATACAAGGGAATAATTTATGTAGAAATACAATTACATTCTAGACTATTTGTGATAACCTTGTCTGCCTGAGCTAATTTATTCTTTTTTGTTTTTGTTTTCTGGTTATCTTTTATTGCAGGGGAATATCCCCCCAAAGCAGTTTTATTTTAGATGAAGAGAGCCTGCCCTCCCTCCAATGTCTCAAGAGTGTTGCCGACAGGGCCGGGTATCAGTGACCTTCAGAGAGAGGAAGGTCTGAGGCTGAATGGGGTGAGCAGGTGAGCATCACCTGGGGTCCCAGGTCACTGTCAGGGACTGGGTTTCAGCTGTCCACACCATGGCAGTGGGCAACGAGCTTAAAGTCCTAATGGCTCTGGGCACTAACTCTCACTGGGGGCTATTGATGAAGTCACAGGCAATTTTTCAGCCAACGCCAGTGAGCTAACCTATTTTGAGTTCCTATTATATGGAGCTCTTACAGTTGGGTAGACCATACATTCTAGGTGACCTCTACTTGATAATTACAGTTCTGGTCCATTCATTCCTAAACTCCTAAAAACTGGCAGAGAAAAGAAAGAAGACAATTTTCAAAGTTACTCTTGCCAAACGCTACTAGACTGGTCACTAAAAAAATTATTTAAAAATTCTCATTGCCTCATCTGTCTAAAATCAAATCTGTAACATATGCACACTAAGAGAAAAAGCAAAGTTAGCACAATTTACTCTATCAATTCAGTTATTAGATTCCTTAATTAAAAATGATGGATGAAGGGAGTTCTGGTGGCCTAGTGGCAAGAAGCTGCACTGTAATCCTAGAGATATTTGGTTCGAATCAATGAGATGCTCTGCTGGAAAAGGAGGGGCAATCTCCTCCTATACCAGTCAGATCTGATTTGATGGCGCGTGCGCGCACACATACACACACGCACACACACACACACGATGGATGGTAATTTTCTACCTGTTTCTTCTACTTTGTTGCTTCTTCTTGTTAAGTGCCGTTGAGTCTTAAGATGACTCATATTAACCCTATGAACAAAAGACCTGCACACTTGTATAACTTTGGTCATTTCTCCATGTTCATAAAGTTTCTGGAGGCAAGCTATTTCAGAAGTGGATGTGCCCCTGCTTCCAAGCTTGTTTTAATCAGGAAGCTCCACCAAACACTGTCTGCCATGTGTAACCATTACAGTATTTGGCACATCATTGTCACAGCTTTTAGCATCACAACAACCACAAGTTACCTCTGTATACCAATGCAAAGACTAGTGCTATACCACTTAGAAGAATGTTTGACAAAAAAAAAAAAAAAAAAGAAAGAAAATTAAACCAGGCCTGAGTGCCACAGATTAAAATCACCCACCTCGGGCTTGGTAGCATAACTTTCTGTCCACTAGACTAACATAGCTTTCTCTATGTTGTCATTGTTATTGTTGTTAAGTGCCTTCTCACTCCCCTTAGCAAATCAACATTCTACCCTAATGCTCACCAATCCCAGCCAACAAGCTTTTGTAGAACCTGGCTCCTGCAGAAGACTTTCAAATTGGATTCCAGCCATTTTTCTGCTTATCAAGTTAAAAAAAAAGACATTTGATATTGTTTTTACACGCTGTCATTGTGTTTACTTTTCCCCAATCTACAAAATACTTGCTATTCTTAAAAACTTTCCACATTCAGATTGTTATAATTAGATATTGAAATTTTCATCTGGTCACGGGCCCAGCTGCAGAAAACCAAGGACAATTACAGACTTTAGGAGAGGCAAGCTGCTCTCTGGAGAGATTGCTGCCAGGCTGCAAAGGACCTCAGAGGGCATGGAGAGGCAACCCTGGAGCTGCAACAGTCAGTTGTCACTATTCACCCCGAAGATGACCGAGAACAATGAAGGGAGAGACTGACCACACTCAGCCAAGATTCTTCCAGCATTACGCTACACACTAGAAAAAACTGAAAGGAATTTAGGAAAGGCAAGTTTTCCAGCTACATAAGACCAGAAAGGACTTCTGGTAGATCAAGTTGGCCACCTCCATAAAGGGACCACTTTAGTTAGTTTATAATGTTGTTGATTTGTTTGTAACTAATCAATACCATTATAAAGAACTGTCAACAACCTATGCAGACACAACAGAAAACAACCTAACATATACCAAGAAAAACTTCACATCATGTCAAGAAAGGATCCAACATCATGAAAAAACAAAACAAGCCTTTTCCTAAAAATGCAGGTCACATTGTAGATCCAACAAATATCCCAGAGACAGGGAGGCAGAACAAGCATAACATGGGGTTATATGAGGAGCTACTGAAGAAGCAATTGAGGTTACAAATGATGGAAGAAAGAACTGAAGCCACACCTCAGAGACAGGGAGCCAGGAAAAAAGATTTAAAAATAGAATCAACAAATACTGAAGAAATTGCAAATTATGGAAGAGAGAATTGAAACCATAAAGAGGTACAAGAATAAAAAAATAATCCTAAAAAGGCAGAGAAGACAAGCACTGCAGCAGTAGAAATAACAGAAATGCATAAAAAGGAATCCAGAAATTCAAGACTGAAATACTGGAACCTAGCAGTTTCCAGTATTCTGGAGGGACAAAAAAACCAGAAAAGATGACAAAGAGAGTCAGCTGAAGAGACAAAAGAGAAAATCAGACAGGAATATCTATGGGAATATACTACAAGAAAAAAGAGATGAGACAGAAGGAAATGGAAGATTAGAATCATATGGGATAGCAATAAAAGAACAACATACACATGATTAACATACTTGAGTAGAAAGGGAACACAGGGAAATCACAGGTAAGAGGTACTAGAAGAAAACTCCCCAGGTATCATGAAGAATGAGGAAATCCACAATCAAGAAGCTCAGCAATGGCTTTTTCTCCTTATCTCCTTTCAAGGAGAAGTTTCGTCCCTTTGCAGATGTAACTTTCTAATAAATCTGTCATTACTATTTACCCTAAAAAAAAAAAAAAAGCAGCAGCAGCTCAGCAATGCAACAATGAATGAATTTTTTTTAAGTGAACTGGTGGTGGCAGGGAAGAAATTGTGTAATAATAAATAGTTTCATTAAAATAACAATTAAAAAAAGGAAGAAGCTCAGTGAACTTAAAAGACTAGACACCTCTCTCTCCCCCGAAAAACCCAACCCATCAAGAAGATATCATAGTGAGCTCTAGTGGTTGAGTGGTAACTTTGTTAACTCAAAGGCACCTGGTTAAGTCAACCAGGTTCTCTACAGAAGAAAGATGGGCAATCTTCTCCCATGCAATTTACAGTATTTGGAAATCTGCTGCAGGGTCAGTGACGATTTGGTTCTGACTTGATGGCACATAACTACAACAAGACGTATAATAGTTAAATTCTCTAAAATCAAAGATAAAGATAGAATACTAAAAGCACTACAAGAAAAACAAAGCGCCACCTACAAAGGAGAACCAATTAAGATTAAGCTATGATTTTTCAGCAATAACCATGAAGGCAAGAAGAATGGAATGGCATATAGAAAAGTTTGAAAGAAAACAATTGCCAGCTGAGGTTCCTGTGGCCAGTGAAGCTGTCTATCAAATATGAACGAGAAATTAGTCATCTTCAGAAAAGCACAAACTTAAAGACCAATTCTACAAGAACTGCTGCGGGAAGTCCTTCAGAAAGAGACAGAACATCTATTATGTTGTTGTCTACAAGAGACACAAAGAAAGAAAGAAATAGATAGACTAAAAACCAAAGACTGGAAAAAATTATACCAAGCAAATGGCATCTATAAAAAATCAGGAGTGGCAATATTAATCTCTGATAATATAAGACTTCACAATAAAAACTGCCATAAAAGAAGGGCACTACATAATGATTAAAGGCATAAGTAATCAAGAAAACAACTTGATAAAAAAATCAAGAGGAAAATTTGATCAACATCTATACACCAAACGATAAACCTACAAAATACATAGAACAGTTAACAGACTTGAAGAAATAGACAGCACCACAATCAACAGTGGTAGGAGACTTTAACATACTACTCTCACCAAAGGATAGGTTAACTTGAAAGAAACTCAACAAAAATTAAGAACTAAACCATACAATTAGTCAACTCAATCTCGTAGAAGTATTCAGGATAAGCACCCAACTAAATGTCAAATTACTTTCTTTTCAAGTGCAAGTGGTATATTTACATTCTCCAGTGGTGATCATATTGTAAGACACATAGCAGCCACAACAAATTTAAAAACATTGAAATAATATAACATAATTACAAAATCTCTTCTCAGACCACAATTCTGTAAGATGATAAATTATAACAAAAACCTACACAGGTAGAAGCTAAATAACACTCTGTTAGAGCACTATTGGGTTATAAAAGACACAGCCATACACAATTGAAACTATCATCAAGACCAGGCAGGAGCTGGTTAAACATACTGAATTGAAGAGAATTCCAGACACTCTGATACTCTGCCCTCAAGTCCATTTTGAGAGGCCTCAGAATGTGATCAAGTGTACATTGGGAGGGGACTTGTATACTCAGAAGAGTAGTCTCCAAGGAAACTGATGACCACATCTTTATCCCATCAGGCAGGTGGTGAGTTCAAATCACTAACCAAGAAATCTAGTGCTATAATCATTGTAGACTTAAACCGTTGTTAGATGAAACCTGTTGTTTCTCAATGGATTCGAACCAACACAAAGGTGCTGGTATAGCTTTGCCGGGCCCTATGGACTCTGCCAGCAGAGCTCTGTAGTGGCTTTTGTGATTAAAAAGCTCTAATGTAAGGGGAGAAGAAGAAAGCAGCAGGCTGAGTTGGGCACAGATTCACATTTGACATGCAACTGTATGCGGTGAATGTAAGAACTTTCTAATGGCATCCACTCCCTAATTCAACCCAATCCCAACCCATAGCATGGTCCTTTTACGGACACTGCGGAAACTGAAGATTGGAAAATTTGGAATGAATGTGGATTCACATCGAATCAGTCAATTTTTAAATTAAAAATCTACAAATAAGAACTACTTACACACTTAGCAACTGGGCATATCTTATTGTGCTCTTTGTCCTCTTTCGTCAACTCTACTTTTTCTATCCTTATTGCATTTCCTTTTTGACCAAACCTGGATACAAAACACAGCGGAGGGAAAATACTAATTAACTCAAGCTCGTATCTTTAAACGTATGAATGTGCATGAGGCATGGTTTTCTACTTTTCTTTTTCATGTGGCATATATTTTGTATTAATTCTGTTTACTGGTCCTTAAAATATTACTCTTTCAAAATGGTCTAGTGACATGTCAAGCTAAGAGAATGAATGCAATGTCAATGGTAGAAACATACAAATAGCCCCTAAGAAACATCAGGCTTCTAAACATTCATTTCAAGTTTGTTCCTGTAGGTTATCTGTCTTAACTCTACAATGAAGGTGGTTTAAATAGGAAAGTCCTACCTATTCTCCATTATTTCCCGGATAGCAGCAACACTTGGTCCTGCCCCAAGGTGTGTGTAATATGGAATGTTCTTATCTCCTGTGGAAGGAATAGGGTGGTTAGAAACAAAGGTTTATAGAATTTGATAGGGGCAAAGAGGACTTTCTGGTTTTGTGTTTATTTATTTCTATTTTAACATAAAACCATGATTTTAGATTAGGTGTACTGAACCTTGACACCTATTCATCCAGCTACCTATTAATTGTTTTCAGGATTAAAAGAAGTTTTAAGATCTAGCTCATAATTCTGGTCTTTCTTTTAAAAAACAAACAAGCGTTTGAAAACTAAGGTGCAAAGTTAAAAGCTATTCAAGAGGAATGAGTAAAAAATTCCTATTAAAATTGAATGTGCTAATTTAATAGTTTAGAATTTGTTTTAGAATTGTTGTTCCGTGCTGTCAAGTCAGAAGGGACTTGTAGCTGACCTTCCAGCAGGTTTTCATCCTTCTCCCATAGGCCACAAATTATGCCAATGTACATAAAGCATATCTTGGCACCATTACTTATTACATCAAGAAACATTCTTAATGTCTGCCAATAAATTACATTTATAGTGAAATACTGAGAAGCCACCAGCTGCTCCACAGAAGAAGGGTGGGCGCAATCTCCTCCTGAGTGATTAATTGTCTCTGAAAACCCACTGGAGGGTCAGCTATGGGTCGGTTCTGCCTTGACGGTAAACAACAACAACAACAATGTTCCCTAGGACCAACATGATTACTAGTAAATTAATGTGTTTCTTACCTCAGTGTGTCTATGCAGGAATTTTCACTGGATATTAAATGTAAGATTTTTACTGTGACTTCTGAAACAAGGATACTAACTAGATTTTAAACTTACTGGTGACTGTAGAGCACTGATTCTTAAAACAACTTTGCTGACTAGAGGATCTTTGGTAATGTCTAGAGAAATTCTTGTTTCTCTGAGATACACCAGGAATGGGCACCACTGGCACCCGGTGGGTAGATCTTAGCCAGGGAGGATTATGACATTTGTAATAAAGAGGACTGAGGTTGAAAAGCCCTGAATTAAAGAGTAATCACTATTTTCTAGAAAATAATACCCCGTAGAAATTATTTACCCTGATATTTATCCTGATTATTTCCTTTCTGTTTTTTCAGATGATTTTTATACAATGAGCCAAATTAACTCACATTTCATGATTAAAGGAAGATATGTATATCACAGCATATATAAAACACTTTGGGGTACATTTCAGGTTCTAAATAAATTTTGCCATTAACTGGTTTACCTCCTACACTGTGAGGAGTTGCTAGGCTAAAGGGTTTTTTGACAAGAGACAATCATATTGGGACCACCAGACTAGCTTGGTTACATAAGGATTAGTGACATTTATTTTAATAGAGGGCATTTCCTCCTCATTTTTAATAAAAAGTATTTAATCTTCAATAACGTAACGTAGTTCCTGTGCCTCAGTCTGACAGAAGATGGGAAATTTTTGCTCTGATGGCTCTCATGAAATGTGCATCATGGCACAGTACCAGACTCATAGTAAGAAAGCTGCAGTGTGAAATTACAGAATTTTTATAAGACCCTCTTCCTTATCTCGCATCTCCCTACTCACACAGCATCATCACTCTTTTTAAAGTGCTGTCAGGAGGCACTATCCTCAGTGCCCGGCTGTCAAAGCTATGTGCTGAATAATGACTGTAGACACGGAAGGTTTCAAATTTCAAATGTTCTTACGCTTATGAAAATTATTATTCGAGAACATACTAACGAAATCATGAGCTGTACACTACCTTTTGTTCAAGGCAAATTGGGACTTTGCGCATTTGCGTTCAATTTTAAGGGAGGCAAGATTTGAATAACCAATTCTATTTGGATAGCCAACAATGACCCTGAAAGAGAAAGATGGGAAGTCTGCTTTCGTGATATATGGCTTTTGAGTTATTAGGATCCTGTTCAAAACAGATTACTCCCACAAATTCAATCCTTTCACAGGCTGCACAAGAGCAGAAAATAAGGGAGCTGGAAATAAACTAACACAACTAATGATCCAAATCTACTTAATTTGCCAATTCTTTAAAGCTATACTAAAATTTGGGGAGGAAGGAAGGTGGGAACCATTTGTATTTAAGAATTTGATTGTTGGTTGTTTTTATTAAAGTTTGATGCTTGAAATATTAAGGACATTTCTCGTAAGGTTTCCCTGAGAATCTTTGGCCAAGCTGAATTGATTGATTGATTGATTGATTGATTTTATGTGTGTACCGTCAAATCAGATCTGACTGGTACAGGAGGCGATTGTTCCTCCTTCTTCAGCAGAGCATCTGGTGGATTTGAACCATGCACCTCTGGGATTGCAGTGCAGTTTCCTGCCACTAGGCCATCAAAGCTTGCCGGTCAAGCTGGATTTTTAACAGAAATTTAAGACATTGATAAAACCATTCTATGCAGCAATTAGCACAGATTATTATTATATTTTAAAATAGAAAAATAATTACTGAATGAGTAAATAACTTGAAAATAGTTTAACAGAATTCTTTAATATACTATGGGACCAAAACCAAACCCAGTGCCACAGAGTTGAATGTGACTCATAAAAACCGTCCACTTCTTAGCTGTACATCTTATTAATGGGACTATATGGCCACATTTTTCTACCAGAATGGCTGGTGTATTTAAACCACAGCCTGCTCTGTAGCATATTCATATATAGGTATGCCGTTTGTACAAGGGCAGCTATGGTGCTAGCTGTCCAAGTATCAGAAAATGCATAACACTAGAAAAGCCTGCAGTCAGGGACCCCCTTCAAATTATTGAGGAGCAATGATGTCATGTTGAGTACTAAGGTGCTCCTGATTAAAGCCATAGTCTTTTGACTCACTTGCTATGCATCTGAGAGCTAGACAACGAATAAGAAGACAGAAGATGACCTGATGCTTTTCAACTGGTATTGGAAAAGAGTGCTGACTATCCCATGAACTGTCAAAAGAATAGGTTTATTTTGGACAGAGTGCAGAGTGCTCCTTGGAGGCACTTTGGTCATTTTGTTAAGAAAGACTATGCCTTGAAGAAGACATCATGCTTGGTTGGAGTGGTGGGGCCCAGTGAAGGAGCAGAAGACCCTCAACCAGGAGGACTGACAAAGCAATGGACTCGAGTGTTCCAGAGATTGGGAGGCTGCCAAAGATAGGACAAGGGTTCAGATCTGTTGTTCATAGGGCCGTTGTGAGCTATACGCAACATGATTATAAGATTCCAAAATTAAAAATACAATTCTTCAGTTCAAAGGATTATGTAAATATCCTAATAATGAAAAAGACAACAACAAATAAATCACCAAATTATTAACTGATTACAGTGACAGCACCTAATAAGTTTTGTGTGGTGACTAAAAGCTTTTATAGTTATGCGTTAAGTTGTATATAAAATTTCTATTCTCTACATGCAAGTTATATATCAAATTTAAAAAAATTCCTGTTAAGAACAAATCTTGTAGATACAAGTGCTTGAGATATGCATAATAAATACCTTGAGATATCTTTAGGCTTGCTACATATGAAAATAGATGTATCATATCATCTTAGCCTAAATATGCATACGTAAAAGAGGACCCCGAGCTTGAACTAGTCATGACTATAAGAAGAGGATCCAAGGGATGGAGGGTGAGAACAGTGGAGTGAGGCTGTGACAGGTGTGGGTGTGTGTATGTGTATGTGCCCACACTGGTTAATCATAGGGTCAAACAATTTGATGGGTGAAGTGAGGTGTGGGTAAAGGAAATGGGAAAGATCCAGTGTGAAAAATGATGTATATAAACTCTGTTAAGTAAACTAGTATAAAATAAAAATTTTATTAAAAAAAAAATTAAGTGGATGCTGAACAAACAAGCACATGCACAGACACTTACCTGGACAGTTACAGGTTGGCGGCTCAGGATTTTTTATTCTACATCCTCGTTTTTTCTTGGGGTTAGTACGAGCATTCTTGATTGGATTTCTATAAATTATTGGATGAAGGAGGTGTGGAGGTATTAATGATGACCAGTCATTCTCTTCACTTTTGGTTGAAACCTCTGTAATTCCACCTGAATCATCTACATTTGCTTTCCTGAGATTTTGTGCTGGATCCAGTGGGCTTCCCTCATAAGAGATCACAGGCACTGTCGACAGTCTCTGATGCACACATTGCTCTTTTCCATTGTGTGGAAGCTGAGTTTGATCACCACCAGCCATCAGGTTAGCACTTTGGGTACCTGGAGAGGAGGCCTGGGGTAAGGGATGAGCTTTCTCATAGACATTCTCTGTTGGCTGTACCTGAGAATTGTAAGCTTTATCTGTAAACACCTGCCCATTGGATTCTGTTTTTAATTGGGATAAAGAATTCAATGGGTTAACTTCAGTAATATTTTCCTGTGATAATCCAGAAGAACAACTCTGGAACTTTATTTGAGCACGTGGAGGAAAAACTGTTTTGTGTTGTAATGTGGTACTCATTTGAGTCCTTAACTTCTGTACTTTGGTTGAGGAGGTCATTTCTCCAAGGAGAAGAGGGAAATACCGTTGAGTAAATGTACCAAAATTTTGAAAATGGGATGACATCCAAAGGTCACCTAATATTGAATACTCTTGGGACCACTGCTCCAACGTCTTCTTCTGGATATTTTCAATACTTTTGAATGCGGGCTTCATTTTCCGACGATCTCTTGGCTGAGTGGATTTTGTATGTTTATCTGATCTGTTCTTTTGTTTTGCTGATGTTGAGTCATGATTAACCTGTACAGTTCTTTGTGGTTTCTGTTGTCTTATGGTCGCCTCTTGATTATCCCCCAGCTGTGCATCATATGCAGAAAGGCTTGTTGGTATGTTTTCACCTGTTTTGTCCTCTGAATGGATAAAGTTGAAATTAATAGTTGATGCAAGTTGTGTTAGCTGTGTTGCAACATCCTCTTCTATTTGACTATGAGTAATTTCCTGATATGACTGATCATTATTTGAGTTCAACATTTTATTACTGTCCAGTGATGGGATAGAATAACTCAACTGCTTATTACTTGATTGACGCTGTTGCAAATTACTATTGGAATAACTGTCATGAGTAATTCCACCTTGACCAATATAAGAAGAACTTGAATTTGTTACATTTGGATATGTCTGTGATTTACTGGTTGATTTAGAAATGGTATTTTGGCCATTGAAGACCACCATGTTGCATGAACTTTGCTTTGTCAATGATGGAGAATGATGCAGGTTTTGAGAATCCCCCTGTGAATTTGGGGTTTGGAGGTCTTTTCTTACAGAACAGAGAATAGCTTTACAGCTGTTAAGCAAACTAGCTGTTGTCTCCTGGGATACTTCATTCTTCTCTATCTTTGATGGTGAGGAAGACTCTGATGGAGCTTCTGAGAGTTGGGTCAAGGCTTGTATGGCTACTACTTGCTCAAATGTTAAGCTCCTATCTTTAATCAGGGACAAAAGACTTGGTTGAACTGGAGACCTATCTTTTGGTTCTCTAATGGGTACATTATCAAGAGATTTTGGTTGATCACTTGCCTTGTGTGCACCACTACAATTATTTAAGTTGAAATTTGTGCCATCTGGAACAGACTTGGAGTCAAAGCCAGGTTTCTGGAAGACACAATAATTATATCCATCCTTAAGAGGCTCGCAAGTCAAGCTTGTGGCGACGGAGCTCATGGTATTGTTATGGTTTGCAGAGCTGGTCGGGAGTTTATAAGAACTGGTTTCCAATGTCTTGCCAAATTGTTCAATACTGAGTTTCTCAAAAGACACATTTGCTTCAATTGGTAAATAGTGTACAGTTTTAATGCCATTTCTTAAAGTTTGTGCAGAGAGGTTTTGAGCTTCAAGGAGGTTTTGAGCTTCAAGTAGAGCTTTCTTTGTGATATCTTCAGAGTTTTTCTGTGTTTCAGCTTCTGTCACAAGTGCACCAAAATCTCCTTTGACAGGATCAGTTACATGTGACTTCTTATTCTGAATCCACTTCTCTACTTCAATACCTGTCATGCTTTCTACATTTCCAGTAACATTTTCAAGGGGTTGCAGGTTCAATTCCAATCTCTGTTCTCTCTCATGACCATAGTTACTGTATTCCATGGATTCTGACTGGAGGCCATTTACTGGTTTGTTGTCAAGATTTCCCTGTAAAATAAATACCCAAGTTATTCATATAACATCTGTTTAAAATATGTTTTATAATTTAATGCTTTATAGGATCCACTCTCAGAGAAGACCAACTTCCAAAAATAGCAGTGTAGAAAGTCTTAAGTATAACCTGTTGGGTTTTCTCTATTGAAGAAACTTCCTGTTCAGTAATCACTCTATCCATGGTTTTTCAATGTTTCGACTTCTGACACAAATGCACCAAAATCCCTTTGATGTGCTTATTTTTAATCCACTTCTCTAAATCATGCTTTCTACATTTTCAAGAGATTGTGGGTTCCATTCCAACCTCTGTTCTCTCTCAGGAGGGATTATCTCAACAGCTATCTCCACAGTTAAGATCACAGATTACCTTTGTTATTGGTATACCCGTTTCCATTCACTCAAAATAGTTATGAGTTTCATCTAAGTTTAGTATATTTATGTACACTTATGATTCATTTCTTCTCTTTATGTTGTTGAACTTAAATTCCGGTATAAGTGCATGAGTGAGTATTTCCAATTTTTTGTGTGTTACTGAATAATGTTGTATATAATTTTCTAATATAGTTTGGTGATGTTTTTAGAAAAATATATCCATCAGTTTTAAATCCATATAAAGAAAACAATAAAACTCTATTACAGGTCGACTGATTTTTGACAAGAAGATTAAATCAGTCCAGTGGGGACTTTTAATCAAATGGTGTTGGCAAAATTGGAAAACTATCTGCAGAAATCTCAAGTAAGAGCCACACCTCACTCCATACACAAAACCCAACTTAAAGTGGATCAAGGACCTAGGACTAAAACCAAAGACTACAAACTTCATTATAGAAAAGCTTGGAAGAACTCTCGACGTTCTAATTCACAACATGAACATTCCAACCATCCTGAAAACCCTACAACCAGGAGAGGATAAAATGGATGGGACCTTCTAAGGATCAAATCCCTATGCATATCCAAAAACTTCTCCAACAGGGTAAAAAGGAAAGACACAAACTAGGAGAAAATATTTGGCTATGATATGTCTGATAAGGGACTTATAACTAGAATTTATAGAATACCTGAACACTACAACATGATAAATATAAACAACCCAATTACAAAATGGATACAGGATATGAAAAGACACTTCACCAAAGAAGACATTCAGATGGCGAACAAACACATGAAGAAGTGTTCAAAATCCCTAGCTCTGAGAGAGATGCAAATCAAAACAACTATGAGATATCATCTCACCCTGGTAAAAACAGCAAAACTTAATAGAACAGCAAACAACAAATGCTGGCGAGTTCATGGAGAAACTGGAACCCTTATTTACTGTTGGTAAGAGTGTAAAACGGTGCAACCACTACAGAAGGCAGTATGATGCTTTTTCAAAAAGTTGGAAATAAAAATGCCATTTGATCCAACAACTCCACTACTGGGAATATACCCTAAAGGAACAAGAACTGCCACCCAAACAGATAAACTCATGTTTTTTGCTGTTTTGTTCACAATAGCAATGAGAATGAAACAACCCAAGTGCCCATTAACAAATGAATGGATAGAGAAGCTCTGGTATAGTCACACAATGGAATACTACGCTGCATTGAAAAACAAAGAACTCTGTCTGGAAATTTCCTGTTTCAAACACCTATGTTACTTGATTAAAACAATGTTAAAATGAAAAAAAAAAAAAAGAAACACAAGGAACTCATGAAATATTTTACAAAATGGATGACCCTGGAAGACATTATGTTGAGTGAAATATCTCAGTCACAAAACGACAATTAGGGCTTGGTGCCACTGTTGTAAAAAGGGACTGACATTTGGGTTGGGGGGGAATCTAAGAAAAGAGGGGTTAAATAATGTATACTTCATCGAAACAGATGAGGGAGAGAACTGTTTAAAAAGGAATATATGATTAGGTATTATTTTCCATGACAAGATTCCAGAAAAAGAAATGCATAGTAAAGTGGACTGTGGACTTGGGGCAGGGGGAGGGGGAGGGATTGTAAAACAATGAAATTTTTTTTCTTTTCAAAGAGAAAAGGGAACTAGGGGGAGGGGAGTGAGGAAACTGTGCGACAATGAATGAATGATATGCTGTGAAAGTAAGTAAATAAATAAATATTTTTTAAAAAAACAGGATTACAAGAAACTAATAGCTCCTAGATAAATAGAAGAAAGTACCTGTTTGAAGAAAAAAAAAATTTTAACTATAAGGAAAAATTATAATTCTACCAAAATCAATTTACAGAGCCAATGCACATATCTCATTACAAATACCGATGATATTCTTCAAGGAGAACAAAAACATTATCTGGAAAAAACAAAACAAAACAACATTATTTGGAAATGAAAGAGACACCAAATAATTTAACAAGTCCACTGAAAAGTAAGCATTATATTTCCTGATCTCAAAAATTACTACACAGCTTTAAAAATCAAAAGACCATGGTACTGTTACTATGACAGACACGTAGAATGTAAGGAACCTGAAATCAACTCATCCATCTATGATAATAGAACTCAAAAGACGAATTGCACTGGGAAAATCTGTCAGTGTTGAAAGAAACAATGTCAATCTAGAGACTAAAGTGTGCCTAATCTAGGCCATGGTCTTCACAAATACTTGCTATGCATCAGAGAGCTGAACAATGACACAGGAGAAGAGAAGAAAAATTGATGCCTTCAAATAGTGGTGCTGGAGAAGAGTCTTGAACATACCATGGACTAAAAAGTCTGTCTTGAAGAGGATGAAACCAAGTCTTTCCTTGGACACCAGGATTTTGAAGCTCTATCTCACATACTTTGAGCAAGTGGCCAGGAGGACCAGTCCTTGGAGAAGGACATCATGCTTGGAAGGGTAGAGGGACAGTGCAGGAGAGGAAGACTCCAGATGAAACGAATTGATACAGTAACTGAGGCAATGGGAGTTGGTGTGCTGGAATTAGTGAGACTGGTTTAGGACAGGGCAGAGTTCAGAGATGCTGTACATACGATCGCTATGACTTGATGGCACGTAACGACAACAACAACAACCTATGATGAGCTGATCTTTGACAATGAAACAAAACCCATGAGGGGGAGAAACGACAACTTCTTTAACAAGTGGTGTTGGAAAACTATACATTCTTTGGGAGAAAATGAAAACAAGATTCACAATTCATTCCATAAACAAAGCAAGCTCAAGGTGGATTAGAGATACAGGAGTAAAACCAGATCTAAAGTTCACTAATGAAAAAAATATAGGAAGCCCTAACCTATGGCTGTGGTGCTGAGAATTTACTGTTGAAAATGGCTTTCCTAGTCATTGATTTTGCCTTTACCATGTGGATGGCTTGGAAGTATGCAAATAGGATGTGTTAAGACTGTTAACTTTAATAGATTCAACAATAGAATTTAGAGAATTTTACCATCAGCAAGAGACTGCAGTACATTCTTCAGGGCAGATATTCTTGAGCCAGCCAGCCGTATTAAGAAAGCTGCAGCAGAGAACTCAGAGAAGAAAACCAAGAAAGCAATAATACCACTTACAATAGCCAACCAAAAATGGAGATACTTGGGAGTGAACCTAGAGATACAAATGACCTACACAAACTACAGAACATTTCTGTAAGACACAATAAAAGACAAGAAAAAAAAATGGGAAAATGTGCCCTGTTCATGAATAAGAAGATTCAAAATTGTGAAAATGGCAATATAACCAAAAGCAATCTACATATTCAATGCAATCCTGATACAGATACCAAATTCATTTTTTAAGGAGATTGAAAGGGAAATTGTCAAGTTTATTTGGAGAGGCAAGAGACCTTGAATAAGCAAAACACTTCTGAGAAACAAAAATTAATTGGGAGATACAGCACTCCTTGACCAAAAAACCTATTACATAGAGGGAGTAACCAAACCAGCATGGTTCTGGTACAATGACAGGCATATTCATCAGTGGAACAGAATTGAGAGCCCAGAAATAGATTCAGCTGTCCATGGTCAACTGATATTTGACAAGGAAATAAAACATATCAAATGGGGAAATGACAAACTCTTCAACAAATGGTGTTGGCAAAACTGACTACATGCAGAAAGCTGAAACAACATCCACATCTCACACCATACACAAAGATCACCTCAAGGTGGACAAGAGACTTGGGAGTAAAGCTCAAAACCATAAAGTTCATAAAAGACAAACAGGGATCATGCTCAGAAAGCTTAGTCTATGGTATAAAGAGACTGCTAAATATATTCAGAAATGTACAGTCTGAACAGGATAAAATAGATGAATGAGACCTTATAAAGATCAAATCCCTGTGTTCATCAAAAACTTTTCCCAACAGGGTAAACAGAAAACCTACTGACTGGGAACAAATATTTGGCAATACCATCTCTGACAAAAGTTTCATAATGAAAGTTTCTACAATATTCCTGGGCTTCCACAAGAAAAAGATTGATAACCCAATTACAAAATGGACAAAAGACAAGGAAAGAATTTTCACAGAGGAAGATATTCAAATGGCCAACAGACATATGAAGAATCCACAGCCAGGAGAGAAAATGGGACCTTCCAAAAAAATCAAATCCTTGTGAGCATCAAAAAACTTTTCCTCCTGGGTAAAAGGGAAGCCTATCCACTGAAGAAATGATAATGATATATCCAATAGTGGTTCACATCCAAATATATCAAATATATCATATCAATAATGACTCATATCCAAAATCCATAGAATACCAGAGTACCTCAATAAGAAGAAAGCAAACAATCCAACTGTGAAATGGGCAGAAGATAGGTAGAGACTCTTAACTAAGGATATTTACATGGCCAGCAAGCACATGAAGAAATCACTATTAGAGAGATGCAAATAAAATAATGAGATGGTCTTCTTCAGCAACAATGACAAAAACCATAAATGCTCTGAGGATACAGAGAATAGGAGCCCTCCTCACAGCTGATGGGAGTGTAATACAGTACAACCACTATGGAAGGTGTAGCTTCTATATGAGTCTCAGTTCTCATTTTC